ACTGATTCCGATGTGTATTTGGTTTTGTTTCAGGCAACGCAAGTGAACAAGTGCAGTCTTCTTCCTCATGATCATTACTGGATCTCAAGTAAACGCATTGTGACATCAGATGGTCATATCTCCSGTTCTGGTAAACGAATCGAAATCCGTCTCTTCACTCTCTTTGAACATGCTTAGATTGATAGAAGAACAATGATTATGAGTAGGATTAGGCCATGCTCCAATCAGATGATTTGATAAATGAATAGACCAGTTTCTCTCAGTTTCTTTCTTTCCAATGGATAATCAAAGCTTGGAAAATCTGCCCCTAAGCTCTACTGTTTGTTACTGAAACTGCGCCTTTTGCGAGTCATTATACTTTGYTTTTATTTCGTTCATCTTATTCTTAATAATTGATGGAAMGTAACGGACGCAGTGGAYGTGAAGGGAGGTGTTATTGTATCAGTGGTGAAGGAAGCAGATTGGCATAAGAAGCAAAGGAGMCGAGTSAAAGTGATTGATTATGGAGAAACTGTAGTCATGCCCGGTCTCGTTGATGTGTATGRCATCTTAKAARCAATCATATGATTTCGATTTTGTGTAGTTTCTTCCATTATCCTAGATTCTTGGAACTTTTGGGTCACATGTTACTCTAAACTTGGTTTGTGTTCTTGTAAAGGCATGCTCATCCTAGAAGAAGCTGAGTGGGAAGGGTTTCCTTCTGGAACAAAGGCTGCTGGTAATCAGAACATTGGCACTTTCTTTGTCAGAACAGTGTCTTTGCTTTCCTCAAGTTCTTGAAATTGTCTATTCTCCGCAGAGGGGATCACCACATTGGTTGACATGCCCTTAAACAGTTGCCCTTCAACTGTATCTCCCGAAACTTTGAAACTCAAGGTAAGTGAGCTGCTTTTGTTTCCATGTTGTAAGGTTGACACTGTGCATACCGCTTTCTTTTGGGTCTGAAACCAATCAATGTGTGCGTTTCTGCAGATCGAGGCTGCCAATAACAGGATACATGTTGATGTTGGTAACACTTTTTGCCCTCAAATCTTACCATATCTGTTGATTAAAAGGAAACGRTGCGTTCCCTAAATCTCTTTTTGGTGTTACTCCAGTATTCTGGGGAGGTCTGGTACCTCACAATGCACTCAACTCAAGTTCTCTCGAGTCTCTCTTAGATGCTGGAGTTCTTGGTCTCAAGGTAGATATCATGTGTCCTATGAAAGCTCACGTATCTTTGTCAATGCATTGCTGTCTATTCAGGTTCTTAGAGTCTATTTGGTCTAACGTGACTTCTCTCAATCCTTCTTCAGTCCTTTATGTGTCCAATGACAAACACCACTCATATAATGGTTCTGTTTCTTTTTTTCGAGTCTTATGATCCCTTCGCATGATATTGCAGTGTTGCTTATTGGCCCTTTTCTATTTGTTTCTGCAGGAAGGGCTATCTGTATTAGCAAAATACAGATAAGAATGATCCTCGTTCTTATCTGACTTATTTAAAAACTAGGCAAACTTCATGGTGAGACTTCTGCTTTCTTTCGCTCTACATAATGGTCATTGTACCTGAAACAAATCTTTATTCGAGCAATTAGGGAGGAGGGAGCAATCAGAAACCTATTATTGGTTACTGAAAACACAAGGACTGGTGGTTCTGCAGAAGGAGCACATGTTCATATTGTGCATTTATCTGATGCCAGTTCTTCCTTGGATTTGATAAAGGTATTTACAATTTTGAGCCGTTAAAGTACACTACTATCATTTGGGTGTTCCTCATTGCTAAAAACCGCAATATTTTTTCTTAAACTTGGTTGGCTTTAAGGAAGCAAAAAGAAAAGGAGACAGTGTTACCGATGAAACATGCCCACATTACCTAGCTTTCTCAGCCGAAGAGATTCCAAAAGGCGATACTCGTTTCAAATGCTCCCCGCCAATATGTGATGCAGCCAATACAGAAAAACTGTGGGAAGCAAATGATGGTATAATTGTTTTAGCAGTTCTCAGTTTTTATACCTTATTACCTCACTCGTGCCCAACTCCTTGATTCTGAAATTTTGATTTGGTTTAGGAAGGAAACATTGATATGCTAAGCTCTGATCATTCACCTACAGAGCCTGAACTCAAACCCCTGAGTGATGGTAACTTCTTGAAAGCATGGGGTGGGATATCGTCTTTACAGGTTTGTAACAAGTCTTAACAGTCTCTAACTATCGCCATCGGTATTCTTAAGTAATGATGAAGCCGGAAAATGTAGAAACTGTGAGAGGACAAAAAAACTCATGGAGTAACTCTCGAGCAGGTAGCTTCTTGGTGGAGCGATCAGCCTTACAAACTCGCTGGACTACACTCTAAGGTGCCTCATTATAATTGGTGCCTCATTATAATAAACCACAGCTTCAATACTCTATTTATTGCACGTTATAAGTACTCGTAAGCAAAACATTTGTGTGATTTATAAATTACAGGGAGTGATTGCGGTTGGGAAACATGCGGATATTGTTGTGTGGGAAACCTGAAGTCGACTTTGATCTCGATGAAGATCATCCAATTCATTTCAAACACCCTGTATGTACAAGCTTTTTAACCAGATAGTTACCAAATTAGAGCCTTATGGTTTAACCCAAAAAATCCAAATGTCTAATCTTATATATTATGTTTGCTTCTTTGTGGTAACAAGAATAGAGCATCTCAGCTTATTTGGGAACAAGATTATCAGGCAAAGTGGTTTCAACATTTGTTAGAGGAAACTTGGTTTTTGGAGAAGGCAAACATGCTTCTGATGCTTGCGGGTCTCTCCTACTCGCGACTTGAAAACTACAAAGGGACCATTGTTACAAAATGTGAATACGCGATTAAGCCACTAATCGCTGGCGTTTGAAACAAAGAACAAGGGACTTAACTCTCTTGTGTTGTTCAAATTGATGCTGTGAACTTTCAAAAAGCTTGTTGTAAACTTAGCTTTTGTGTGTAAGTGACTGAAAACAGATTTGTTCTAGTGGTTTGATTATGTATACCGTAAATAACCGGTTCTATCTTCTACCAAACCATTTGCCATCTCCAGATACTTGGTCTCGATGAATTCGCCCGTTGCTTCTCCTCTGAGATTACTGATTTTAGTTCCGCACTAGCCGAACATCTCAAGATCCGGCGTGAACAGAAGATTGTTAGTCACCGTTTTAGGCGATTCATTCTATTGTCGTTGATTTTCGTCACCGCCACTCAGTTCACAGCCTTGCCTACCACAATGAGAGCTAGCATTCCCTTTAATATCTATGAAGTTGGAGAGCTCGCGGCAATATTTCACTTCGCTTTCTTAATCGAGACGCAAAATGTTCAGTCATGTTCTTGTCTTAGTAGACAAAACATGGTTGCGTATGATCTTCAGCTTCGAGATTGCTCTTATTCTATGGCTGCTCAAAAGAATCTAACAGTAACCATCTCTCTCTTGTTTATGACGTAAACCAAAACATTCTCTTACATTTTTTTTTTMMTTTTTMGCAGTGAACATAACATGAAAACGAATTGTTTATCGATTGTGTTATTGTTTTTTATTTGATGATTTGAGATTATCGTAAACACATACCGATTTGGATATAAAACATAACCCAATGAATTGATCAAATCGACAATATACCATCCAATAGTTTGGTCAAAGCATTTTATAGCATAGCAAAAACATGGTCTTATCATAGATAATCACACACAAATCCAAAGAACAAGAAAGGTTATTTCAAGCGTTACACAAATCAAAACGACCAATCCATAGAATTGAAATGAGCTGCATTCACGAATTTGTCTTCGGCTACCGTCAGGTCATTGGAGTCTTTTTTGAAATTGGAAAACAAAATGACTACGTAGCCAAAACTTTTTAAATCTTCAATTATATCTATGAAGTCCGGGTCGGAAGTGCATATAACGATAGTACTTAGCTCGCTGTTAGCTTGTCGAAGCTCACGGTCTATATCCGTGATGATGTCTTCCCTCAACTCCAAGAAGGATAGGTTCTGTTTCGGTGGAACCACCACTGGAAAAAAACAAAACAAAAGTTAAAATACGTATTGAGATTAAACTGAAACGAAATATACACATTGGGGATATGATAGTGAAAACATTACCTCTTGCTTCGACTCGATCCGTCTTGCATTTCGTACACACTCGTTTTCTTACAGGAAGATACGTGAAGGAAAATGGAACTCGATTATGCGCAAAGGCGGAATTGAGGATGGCTTGAGATCCATTGTAAGCAGGAAATGCTCCGTACGCCGTTGCAGAAGCGAGATGTAGTCTTTGATCTAACACTTGAAGCATGGAGTTAATCCACTGAGTGAAATGAATGGCTGTCAGACGACGTGGTAGACGTTTGGTATCCTCATCCAAGTAGAGCTTGACATCGTATTTTCCCATAGCTTAAGATGGCAAGAAGAAAGAAGTCTTAGTGTTGGGCAGCTAGTAAGAAGTTCTACATTCGTCTGAGAAGCTACTACAGAGAAAAGAAACTTCAAGGTTAGTTCATACAGAAATTGAGCGGAAACTTCTGTCGAGATTCAATACAGAGACACGACTAAGTAAGACGGGAATCACAGATTGACACGCCGACGGGACAAACAAAGGAGGTCGAGAAACAAAGCCTAGTACCATGGAGTTTTGCATATGTCGTGAAGGGGATGTCTCGATCAAAGGAAGAACAAGAGGTTTCGGAATCGGAGTAGCGCAGTTCGAAATGCAGAAAGCAAAATCCAAGCTAGTGAAAAATTGGGGATCTAGGGATTGAAATGAGTCATCTATTAAGATGAGTTTCTGTCATGGGCTTAAACTAGCCCAGTTTTTAAATTAACTAATTAGCTTCCTTTTTTAATTTCTTAATGGGCCTAAACTAGCCCTATGAAACATTC